TTAGATTTATTCCTAGATGTCTTGTATGTTTTTCTTGCTATTCTTAGTTGTGTGAGTTTCAAAGCTGCATTTCTCACCTCCTCCCTGCTGGTCTGTAGGAACGGGGCTAACTTTTGTTCACTGTTTCCCAAGCGAACTTGGCTTCTTTTTTATCCTAAAAGTTGCCTGAGCCTCTCTGGGGGTTTTCTATATAAACAATCCTATCATCTGTGAATGATGTCCATTTGTATCTTGAACAATCCTTAGTCTTTTTCCTCTGTTTGCTGTGTTTTCTGGGACCTCCAATGTGACATTGACTGGAAGTGGTGGTAAAAGCAGGGTGCCTCATCCTTGAACTTCCATGGGTTACTTCTTAGGTTCCTCCGTTAAATATGGTAGAAAACCCTTACCAGGCTGAGGTGGGCTGTCCTCACTGCTAAGAGTAACATCACATACAGGGGGGGAGTGATAGAACGAGGAACGCTTTTCCTGAATCTGCTGGGATGGTTCTGGGGGCTCCTTTGACCTGCCTGCTTCAGGGGTTGTCTGGAGATTAAGGTGAGGCATAAAATGCCTGCGGAAGTTCCCAGGTGAGTAGCTGAGCTTGCGTCGGTCAGGCCTCTTTCCAGGCAGGGCTGTCGCTCCAGGGACCAGGCAGAGGTGATGACATGAGGGTCTCTCTTCCTTGGCCACCCCAACCTAGGCAGGACCCACAGGGCAGTCCTGGAAAGCAGACGTGGTCTGGTTGGGCTGAGGTCAGGGTCCGGCCAACCTCCCACTCAGCTTGAGGATCCAGACCGTGTCAGGAACAGGCGTGTCTGCTTGAGTTGGACCGAGAAGCCAGAAGTGTGTGGAGTCATGGCTGTGCTCCCCGGGGCTCTCCCGGCCGGCCGGCAGACCAGCCTGCCGGCCCCTGGCAGCCCAAAAAGCCTGGGTAGGGCTGGCTCAGGGCAGGGGCCGCTCTTACAGGTCATGTGGGGGTGCAAGGTGAGGAGAGCTGCGTCTCCCAGTCCTGGTCAGGGAACCCCTGATGCCTTTGTCCAGGGCAGGCGGGGCCTGTTCCAGAGCCTGAGACACCAGGTCAGAGCTGTACCTCCCTCCTTCCCTCAGATTTCTCTGGAAACCCAGCCCTGCCCTCCCCTCCAGCCTCACAGCCCCCAAAATTGATAGGTCCCCAGAGAGGTTTCCCTCACCCTGCAGACAGGCCGTCATAGAGCAGAGCCCACCCTGTTTTTTCTGGGTGGGGTGCCCGTTTTCCGGAGACACCCCCGGCTCTGCATTCCGTCTTCCCAGCGTGCTGCGTGCCCAGCCCAAAGGCAGGGGCTGTGAAATGCTGTGTGGGTTCTGGCTGGGCAGTGAGGGCTGGCCTTGTGAGCACAGCAGCTGGCAGAAAACGGCCATGCTTGCGCTGAGATGGCTACCCCTGCGGACAGTGATGCCTCAGAGCCCTGGGTCTGCCTGGGGCAGGAAGAACGCCCTCTGCTCAGTGCAGGAGGGCGTGAAGCCCAGGCTGCCTGGGGACCCACAGCTGTGAGGGAGGGTGGCTGAGAGCCTGCGGCCCCACACCTGGCCCACCCTCACTCCCTCCCTAACTTCTGTGAGTTAAACCTCAAGACTGCCCACTTGGACTCCTGGAGCTTGGCGAGCATGGGCAGGTGAGGATGGAGGCCTGTAGGGAAGGGTCCCCAGGTGTGGGTAGGTAGGCAGGTGAGGACCGAGGCCTGTGGGGGAGGAGGGGAGGACGTGGGTGCTTCAAGGAGGGGCTCCAGGTACACCTGGGCCTAAGCCTTGGTATTTATCTGTGCTGCATAACAAATTATCGCAAACTCAGCTGCTGAAAACCACACCTACTCATTATCTCGGTTCCTGTGGGTCGGGAGTCTGGGCCAGGTTTTCTGCTTAGTCTCAACAGACTGTAATCAAGGGGTTCGCTGGGCTGGCAGAAGTCGGTTCCTGTGGTTGCAGGACTGAGGTTCCTGTGGTCGTGAGGGCTGCCTGCCCGACGGCTCAGCTCCTAGAGGTGCCCTCAGAGCCCTGCCACAGGAAGGTCACATTATGGCTATTTGCTTCTTCAAGGCTGTGGAAGCTGTGCCGCTCCACACATGGCTGTCCTCCCTTCCTCCCCAATAGGCCTCCATCCGCACCTGCTCACACCTGGGGACCCTCCCCCACAGGCCTGCAGGGAAGGCTGGACCCGCTTTTAAAGGGCTCACCTGATTAGGCCAGGCCCACCCAGGATGATCTCTCATTTGACTAACTCAACATCAGTGGATTAGAGGCCTTCATTACATCCACGAAGTCGCTTCACCTTTGCCCCACCGTGTAACCTAATTGTGGGAGTGAAACCCCATCATATTCATAGTTTCACCCGCACTCGAGGGGAGGGGATTATAAGAGCCATTTTAGAGTTCTGCCTTCATCTGGTCAAAGCACACCATCATGGTTCTCATTCATATTTTCACACCAACCCTGGTGAGCTTAATAAGCCCTGGGGGGAAATGCTAGATGTTAATCTGAACAGTGGGGCAAGGAGAATTGCCCCCTTTTACAGATGAGAAAACTGAGGCACACAGAGGGCGGGGGCCCTGGCACATGAAGGATGCCTTCCGCTCCAGGTCACACTGGTCAAAGAGAAGCACAGTCTGGGCTTGGACCTGGGTCCTGCCCCTGGACTTGCAGGCCCCCACCCTGCTGTCAGCAGACAGGTCCTACCAGCTGCACAGTCTGACCGACAACCCCCATGCCCAGGCCGGGCACTGACCCCCAGGGAAGCATAGCTGACGGCCACCAAGCTTGCCCAACACAGCTGGGGTCCCAGTTGGTGCAGACCCAAATCTGAGGGGCTCCTTAATGTCCCCAGCACACTCTTGGGGTTCCACAGACACCCCTCTCCGTTCATGTGGGAGCCCCTCTGTGGCCTGCTTGAACCCCTCTGCTGATGGGACGCTCATTCCTCCTGTCTCTGAAGAGCTCTGCCTGGGGGAGCTCAGCTTAGCGCCGAGGCACATGCCACACCCACCTGCTTGCACTCTCACCGGTGATGGGAGGCGACGGCGCTGCTGTGACTCCATGGTGGTGAGGATGACAATAGCTGCTGTGCATCCTTGGGACAGTCACAATCCCTCTCTGAGCCTTAATTTCTTCATCCAAATCTGAGGCTAACCTGGACTTGGGTCAGCATTTGCACCTTGGGTGAAGCCAGAGCTGAGAAAGGAGGGTGGAGATAGCTGTGTTGGGGTGGAGCGCTGGCACCTCGCAGTCAGGTGAGGCTGTGTGACCCTGGACAGGTTGCTTTCCTTCTCTGTTTGGGGTGGTGGGTGAGAGAGTCTCTAGGGATCCCCAGCAAGGAGTGTGATTTCATACCCAGCCCCAGGGGCTCCTCCAGGAAGGGTCATTTGTCCCCTTAGTCCCCATATGGCTCAGCCCTGCACTTGGCCCTCAGTAGTTAATGGAGCTTGCACACAGTAGGTGCACAGTGAGTCTATGGGAAAGTGACTTGAATAACCCAGTGGAGACACCAGCACCTCCTTCTAAAAGTGGACCGAGGCCTCTGGGCTGTGTGCCCATTGGTGGGTAGGGCTGAGGGCCTACTGTGTTACGGGCACATGACCATCTCACTCCCACTCTGCTGAAAGAGGGCCTTGGAGGCTTGCTGCCAGGGGCCCTGGCCTCCGAAGGGGCAGAGCTGGACTGGGCTGCCGGCCTGGGGCCCGAGCCAGCCAAGCATTGGCCTCTACCTGCCTGCTTCAGGCCTCGGCCACAAACGAGGGGCTGGCTGCCAGCTTCTGTGCACCCACTCAGTGCCCAGCACACAGTTTCTCTTCTCAGAATCTTGAGGTAGAGTTTCTCTTTGGAGACAGATGAAGAAGAGACTGAGGGTCTAAGAGGTTAAGCGACTTGACCAGAGTGACTCAACCTCTGGTTCAGTGTTCTGCAGCCTGTGGGTACTGGCGCTCCTCCTGTAGTAATAAGTATTGTTAATAGGAAACAGGTAACTATTGGCCCAGGACCTGGCCCTGAGCTGACCTGCTGCCCGAGTCTTCACTTCAACCCGATACAGGGTCTATCGGCCTCATTTTAATTGTGGCCAAATGGGCTCAGAAATAAACCCTCCATATCCCACAGCCTGTAAGTGGGGGGTTGGGATCTGAGACCCGGAGTTGGACGGCCAAGCCTCCCCTCTAGACCTCCATATCTGCTGCCTGAGAGCAACGGGGTCCCAGGGGGCCAGTGTCCTCAGTGGGACCCTGGGCAGGAGGGAGGGGGGGACAACGGCTTGTGGAAGGACAGGAAGGCACGGATGCCAAGGTCCCCATTGTCCATTCTTGAGGCAGGTGGTGGGCATAAGTAACCCACCAGCATTGGCCCCACTGGTCCTAGAGGCTGCAGGGCCAGGCCTGGGGCGCTGCCCGGCCGGTGAATGACCTCTGAGATGTGTGTCCTCGGGGTTATTGAGACGGGCACGTCCTGCTGCTCCGGCGCGAGTCATTGGGCCTTCATGTTTTCAATTACAATGTGGCCTCCTGCCCACTTTCAGACCCAGCCACAGAGAAGGCAGTTTGAGGTCAAGGTTAGAAAGTTTGTCAGCAGCTCTGCAGGGACCAGTTTTTCCTCAGGAGGCAAGGGTTCTGGAAAAGCTCTCTGCTGCCCCCTGGTGGGAGAGGCCTAAGGGGGCTGCAGGCCGCTTTGAAGCAGCGACAGGTTCTGGGGCTGCAGGTACCCCAGAACCAGAGGAAGGAAGGATGGGCGGAGCTCCCCTGTCCTCCTCTGCGGAGGCCTCCGGGCCCTGCCACCTGTCCTGGGCTCAGAACCAAACCCAGGGCTGAATCAGGCTCCGCACCACCGGCAAGTCCCTCTCCAGGCCTGTGCCCCCTTCTGTTAAATGAGGTGCTTGGTGGGGAGGGGATGAGAAGTGACCGTTTCACGGGCACAGGTCTCCGGGGTGACGGCAACGTTTTGGAACTAAACAGGTGGTGGTTGCCTAACACATTGAATGACAAAAATGCCACTGAATTGGTCACTTTAAATGTTTTATTTTATGTTATGTGAATTTCACCTCATTAATACAATAAAGAAAAAGGCGCTTGGAATAGTGCTGGTGGGTGAGAACCACCTGGACGCCATGGCCTCCCTGAGCCTCGGTTTCCCTGCCTGTAAATCAGGGAGCGGGTTTCAACGAGGAATGCCTGGGCTCCTTCCTGGCCCTTGGCTGGTCGCTGCCGGAGTGGGGGCAGAGGAGCAGGCGGGGAGGGCTCGGGTAGGCGGCCCAGAGGAGCCTCTAAATACACTCACAGGGCAGCGGACTCCACTATCCCTCCAGGCAGGCTGGCAGGGCGATGTGCTTCCTGTGCTGAGCTCTGGAGCTCTGCCCCTCCCTGCCTGCTGTGTGACGGTGGGTAAGGCACCTAACCTCTCTGTGCTTCTGTTTCTTCAGCTGTAAACAGGGATGATAACAGTCCAAACCTCGCAGGGCGGTTTGAAGATTAAAGGCAGAGTATCGTGCTGTTCACTCAGCGGGGGCTGTGGGAAGGGAAATGACACCCAGGGAATTCCACAACCGTCTCCCGTGGACAGACACAAAACTGGGGTTTGAGGGGAGTGACTGGCAGGGGACCTGGCCTGGGTTTGTTGGACTCACAGCCTTCCTGCTCATCCCTGAGGACAGGGTACAGCAGCAGGGTGGCCCCCAGGATGGGGCCTGCCCCCCCAGGGGCCCGACAGGGAAGAGGGTGCGTAGACTCGAGGAGGGTACTGCAGAAACCTTTATTGCTACTTGGCCCCTCCTTTCGTGCCTCTGTTGCCAGGAAAGTGAGCCACCAGGACCCACTTGCTGGGGGCCGGGCCCTCAGGACAGGTGGCCGGGGACCAGCCAGGGTGCCCGCCCCCAGCACCGCTGAGGGGCCAGGTTGACTCTGCGGATGCTGAGCTCGGAGGCGAAGGCCCTGGCCTTCTGATAGAAGAAGAGGGACTTCTCGCGGTCCAGCAGGAAGTTGTGGTAGATGGTAGCCAGGCGCGTGTAGATTTTCATCTGTGCCTTCTTGTTACCCAGGTCCACGGCCGCCGCCAGTGCCAGCTGGTAGTACCCGGCTGCATCAAATGGGTCCTGATGGGGAGACGCGGCCTTTAACCCAGACTCCACATTACGTGACCCTGGGAGGGGAGGTTGGCATGCGGAGCCTGTCTCCCCAAAAACTGCCCCATGCCTGCCATCCACCATCTCCGCCCTACACAGGTTACCCCACCTGTGGCCTGTGGCGGGCGGGATGCCCTGGCAGCTAGCGACAGAGGCCCCTGTGGATTCAGCCCCTGGGTATTTTCCTGGGAGGAGCCCACCTGCTCCAGAGGGGCTGCCTGAAAGTGGACCTTGGCTCATGTCCGGGGTCGGACCCGGAAGTCTGCATGGGTCTGGACAGGCGTTTCAGCCACCCTGGGTCCTTCTGTGCTCTGGACCCTGCTGTGGTTCCCCCTTCCCGCCCTGGAGCCAGGGCTTCGAACCCCGTAGTCCATGCCCCCCGCTCCTCCTGCCGGACGCCTCTTCCCCGCGCAGCCCTGGGGCCTCCCGCCCTCCCGGGGGACCTCTGTGGCTTTCCTCGGGCCGAGGTGGGGTCTGACTGCTATTCCAAGAGCCAACTGCAGAACCCACCCAGCCCAGGGCCACCACGGCTTGTCTCTCTCTAACCCCACGTCCACACTGATGCCAGCATGTCTGGAACCCTCCATGGCCCAGACCCAGCGCACAGCCCCTCACAACATTCCCTAAACGTATGACAGGGCATGACACCGCCGGACACCCGCTCCCATTTCAGACGCATCTTTGCCTCAAACCCAACACCCCAGGTCAGGATGCCCCTCCCCCCGCCCTGACTCCTGTCCCCTACCCCAGCCTCTCCTCAGGTCCCTCCCCTGATACCCCGGTGGCCAGAGGGAACCCCTCTAAAACCCAAACCTGGCCTGTCCTTTCCCTGCTTACGATGGCTCTCCAGGACAGAGGACAAAGTCCGAATCACCAGCCCTGGCCCCCCACTGCCCCCATGCAGAGCAAGGAACCAAAAGGAGATAAAAACAGGTGCATGTAACAGTGTCACCAACATCCCCTCAGCCCCTGTCAGGTGCCGGATGCCGTGCAGGGCAGACTCGTGCCGCCTCTGGGGACAAGTGACCACAGGGGACTTGTGGGTCTGTGACAGGGAAACCCGGCAGGTTGTGGAGCCCTGGGTGGCACCTGAGTCAGATTGGAGTGGGTTGGGAGGACTTCCTGGAGGAGGGACATCCCAACTAAACAGAGGGAAGTGGCCAAAATGGGTGGTTGGGGTGGTGGTGGTGGAGTGTGTGTGCCTATGTGTGCATGTGTGTGTGGAGCAGCTAGTGGGTGGCAGACTCGGGGCCACACCCACATCTGTCCCGTCGCAAGCCTCGCTCTCTCAGCTATGACACGCCACCCCAGGCGAACAATGACCCCATTTCAGTGAGACCATCAGCCAAGGTACTTGTGGCCCCCCTGCCTCTAGGGCAGCACTCGCGGGCCCTATCCACCCCTCTTTCTCTTTCCCTTCTCCTTTGCGGGGGAGCCCCCGGGTCACACACACGACACAGAGACCTCTCTCCCTCCGGGGCACATGGAGGAGGGCGTGAGGCTGGCCAGGGGCCGCTGAGGGGATTCCAAGGCCTCGCTCAGCTGGTGGACGGCCCTGGTGCTGACAGAAAGGTCATGGCATGGCTGCGGGCAGCGTGGCCTGGGGACCCCGCCTGGAAGGAAGCAGACCCCAGCTGCTGGGCCCAGGGATCTCGGCCTCTCAGCTGACTGGAGGGATACGCTGTCCCCACGGCCCTGTCCCACGGTCTGAGATGAGCCAGCGTCTCAGGGCCTGGAGCTCCCTTAGGCCTGGCCCCTCTACACTTGTCTCGGGCAAGCCTGTTTCCCTCCCCAGCCTTAGCGTTCCCTTCTGTGTCGAGCTGCTTGGCAATCAACTGTATGGAGCCTGGGAGTGGGGGGGAGGTACATGTGCTATGCAGCCCCATCCTCACACCGCCCAGGGGCCAGGCGTGCATGGTGAGCCCACCTCACAGACGGCAGACAGAGCTGGGCTGAGGCTGGCCGCAGCCCTGCCCCACACAGAGGAAGGCCTGGCTTGGAAGGGTGGGCACTGACAGGGTGTGCCCAGCTCGCAGGTCATAGGATCATGAGGTTGCGAAGTCTCAGTGTTGTGAGGTCATGGGGTCGCAGGGTCTCAGGGGCTGGAGCCCTACCACACTGCTCCTAACGTGACCTCAGTCAGCTGACCATGCCTAGCCCCTGCCTCCCCCCAGTCCTGCGGGGACACCAGCTCCTCCCTCACAGTAGAGCATGCAAAAAGCCAGCCACATACAGTCTGAATCACAGAGAGCCCAGACTACACACAGCCCGGCATCACAGAGTCTGGGCGGCACAGAGCCTGGGTCACACAGAGCCTTAGCCACCGTGGAGCTCAGTTGCAGGGGTCACCGCTCTCTGTGGGACACAGCTGTTTGGATCTGACATAGCAGAAGGCGGCAGTGACCATTTCTGACCACTAGGTGTCGCCAGCACACAACCAGGGCCACCTAGGAGGAGGTTGGGGGATGCCGGCCCTTCCAGCTCTGACGGGGCAGCGACTCGTCCTGACTTCCTGGAGTGGTGTCCCTGCTTGGAAATCTGGGGTATGTCACATCCTATCCCCAGCCCAGGTTTCCTTCTGTGAAGTGGGATGATATTTCCGCCCCACCCAGGTAATGTGTGCGTTAAAGGTATCTCGGGATCCCAGGAAGAGCTCTGTACAGACTGGCAGGCTTCCCGGAGCAGGTGCCAGGATTTGGGTTCCATCTTGCATCGTGGGTGTCTGGGGATAATGATGACTCCTCCTTCAACCCCCCAAAAGTTATTTCCCCCTCTCACATTTTTGTAGCTAATTCCTGCTTTACTGTCAAGGCTCCGCTTTGCAGTCACCTCCCCCAGGAGGCCCCCCCTGACTACACTCCCTTTTGTCCTCTACTCAGTGGCTCCTCCTCCACGAATCCTGAGCTCTGAAGAGCTGGGCCTGGCCCTTGTGAGAGCTCAGAGAGTAAGCTGACTGCCTGTTCTCCACAGCCAGGCCTGGAGCTCCTGGGGGACCACTGGAGCCGATGCTGGAGGAGGTCCCGGTGCAGATCCCACCCGAGCCCTGCCTCCTCTGCCTCTGCCCACCTTCAGGTCGTAGAAGATGATGTCTCCGAGCACCAGGTACACCTTCACATAGTACAGGGTCTCCTCGTCGAACTCCAGCGGCGAGCTGCAGAGCGACAGCGCCTTGAGGTAGAAGTGCTCTGCCAGCTCACCTTGGCCCAGCCGGTGGTGCAGGGCGGCCAGCCGGTGGTAGGCCACTCGCTCATTCAGCCGGTCCCCTGGGGACACAGGGCAGGGGCACGTGTGAGGACATATGGTGTGAGGCGGCGGGGGCGCGGGCCCGTCGGGAGCACCCACGCCGATGCCACCTCAAAGTTGCAGCCAGCCGCTTCCCTTCTCCAGGCTCACTTCTCCCATCTGTGAAGTGGACCTCATAATGCCTGCTCCCTGTCTACCATGGGGGTGAGGCAAAGTTGAGGATTTGGAGGCGCCAGCTCCAAGCCTGCACACAGCCACGTGGGTGGGGCGCATGCGTCACTGTTTTTGACTAGGAGACCCCAAAAGTCATGCAGTCTGTGCACTCACGCACCAGAGCTCGGGTCAAGCTCGGATATGACACTTGACCCTCCCGGGTATCAGCAGCAGCAGCCCCACCCCATCCTCAGGCGTCGCCAGCCAAGGCTGTGTCCAGGGCCCCGCCCCTCCACTTTCAGGCCAGGGCTGCAGGGCCTGCACGCAAACCATGCTGCACACCTACTGTGTGCCCAGCCCTCTCAGGGCTTCTGGTCTCTGGGGGAGGACATATGACTTGGGACAGAGGGGTGGCCGGCATCCGGGGACCAGCTTCTGGAAAGGGGACTGGAAGTTCTCCAGCCAGGGGACAGCAGGTGCGGGCTGAGTGAGGGGAGGGACAGCAGGCAGCCTGCACGTTCAGGGACCAGTGAGAAGCCCGGAATGCAGGGCACACTGGCACAGAGCTGGCAAAGAAAGTCCAGCCACACAGAAAGCGTGATGTTTCTGAGAGACCCCGCACTGGTCCAGGCAGGGCTGGGAGGTGGGGCTGCAGCTCACCTTAGCCCACCCCCACGGGAGAGGGCGGCCTGCGGATGGGAGGGGCCCGCAGCTGTCCTGGGGCGGCCTGTCTGTCACCTGTTCCTGCCCTCCCGATCTCAGAGGCGGAGGCCCCGGGCACCAGGGCACGGGCCTTACCCAGGGTGATGCTGAGTGCCAGGGCCACATGGGCGAACTCCAGGCCCTCCTGTGGCGTCTCCAGTTCCTCCAGCAGTGCCACCAGCTTGTTGCAGAGTCTCAGCTCCGCCTCCTGGTTCCCTGTGGTCACAGCCAGGGGCAGCGCCCGGTCCTGCCCACACAGGCAGGCGCATCAGGCCTCTCAGAGCCCCAGACATGTGCTGAAGCTTCCCGCCCCTGCTATGCCCCCTGGATCTTTACACAGCTCTGTCCCCCAAGAGACAGGTTAGCTCAGAGAGGTGCTGACACCCCCGGAGCCACTGGGCCCTGAGCCGGCTGGGGTGTGAACTGCAGCCCATCTATCTATCTTCAGACCAACTCCCACTCTCGGGCAGTGAGGGCCTGGCCAGGAGGGTCAGATACACCCTCTGTGCTCTAAAAATGCCACATTTATCTGAATCCCGGGGGCTGAGCCGCATGCTGTGAGCTGAGCAGACAGGAGGGGACAAGCCACCCTCCCTGGGAGGCACATGCTGACTGGGTCCTGGTCTCAGTCCCCCACTGATGTGCTACTCTGAGCCTCGGTTTCCTCGTCTATGAAGTGGGATGAACTAGCACCCAGGGGCTGCAGGGGGTTGTTCGAGATGCGAGCTGCCAGCCCGAAGCGCCTGTGGCTCAAAGAACCCTTCCTTTCTCTGCCTCCAGGTCGGGGTGGGGGTCCAGACCATCCCAGGTAAAGCCACCGGCAAACTAGGCCTGTGCACAGGGCAGCCCTGCCTCCAGGTGAGAGGCCTCTGTCCTGCCACACCTGTGCCGTCTGCCGGGACGCCCACGAGGCCCACCCGCATGGACCACTGTGGCCGTTTACCCGGTAGAAGGACACAGCTTTCTTTCGCTCCCAGGCTCCGTTGAAGAAGATGTCTCCGGCGGCCTCGAATAGCTCCAGTCCCAGGTTGGGGTCCCCTGTGTACAGGGCTGCGTTCTGTGCCACCTGTGGGGACGCGGAGACTCTCCTGAGACCCGCAGGGTTCTGGCAGGTCAAGGTGGCCATCCCACCCCGTGGGAGCCTCACTGCCACACCTCAGCTGCCCTGGGACCCTCAAGCTGCCCCGTACACCCTGGACACAAACACGTGCGCTGGAGGCGCCTTCCCTCTCCCACGCCTCAGGAGCGACTGGCCCTGTGCATTTGGGGCCACTGTCACCCACTTGTGTGAGGGTGACAATTTAAGCCCTGTGTCCTATGAGGAGGCCTGTCCAGTAAAGGCCCTGGGAGCCGGTAGGTGTGGACTGCTGAGGAGCTTGGGGCAGAGCTGAGAGCCGGCCCCTGGATCCCGCCAGCTGTGCCCAGACCATGGCATGCTCTGCTCCAGCCTCACTGGGACTCCCTCATCCTGGCCCCTTCGCCTTCACTAATTTTCCTCCATGGCCCTTAGTAATACCTGATGGCACATGCCGACCTGTCTTCCCCCACCAGAGTACTAAGGCTGTCGGTGTCTCTGCTGCATCCGGGGCCTGGCACAGTGCCTGGTGCATAGTAGGTGCTCAGCAAATACCAGGCAGTGAACGAGTGCACTAGCCCCTGCCCGCAATCCAGCCACGCCCAGCTGCTTGCAGCCCCAGAACTGGCCACACGCCATGTGCCTCTGGGCCTTGGCACCTGTGAGTCTGCTGCTGGAATACCCCTCCCGGGCGGGCACTGGCCCCCACTCACTGTAACTCAAACCAGCCTGTGTGACCCAGACGGACAGGCGCTTACCCTCCAGCTCCTTTCTGCACCCCCTCGTGCCTGCCACAGCCTGGGGCCCCGAGTCAGCATTGTTTGAGGAGCCTGTCCCCCTTCAACCATAACTCCTGATCTGGGATCCTCTGCCCCTGGTCCTGGGAGGTACACAGCAGGTGCTCAAAAATAAAAAAAACTCACAAGGCTCATGAGCCTCCCAATTTGTTCCAAACACGTCATGTTTAAAGGGGATGTGTCATATGCTGCCGGACAAGGTCTTCTGTGTGTCCACTGAGTGGGCACGTCCTGCGCACATTTATTAAGCACTTGCTGTGTACCAACACAGTGCAGGCTACTGAGGGGCACGTGCCTCTGGCCCCCCGGAGCTGAGACCATTGTGGAAGATGCTGGCAGCAGGAGTCCAGGGGCAGCGGGGGGACAGCATGGGCACCTGGCCTGCAGCAGGCGCTCAGCAGTTTGGGAGGAGCCGACCTCGTACCTGGATGTACAGGTCCACCAGCTCGGTCTGCTGAAGGATATAATAGATCTTCCCTGCCTGCAGCCAGGCATAAGCTTCCTTGTCCTTCTTCTGCAGGTCGATGAATATCCCCAGACTGCGCTTGGTGTAGTCCAGTGCTGACCTGTAGGCCCTGGAATGAGACATGGATGGTCAGAACAAGCCCCCACGCCAGCCACCGTGCGACAGAAGGGACCACGCTCTTCCCACGGCCAGTCTGCTGACCACGGACCTGGCATGTCGGGCGTGGGGACAGGTCCTGCCCTTCCCAGGCCGATGGGAGACGAGCTGGACACAGGCTGCCCTGCTCGTCCGGCCCAGGTAAGGAGGCCCTTCGGAGGGAAGTGTCGGCCGCGTGGCCGGGGGAGCACGCTATTCTGCCTCTGCCCGGCTCCCACACACAGGGGCCCCACCGCTCGGGGCGGAGCAAGAAACACTAGCACTGGGCAGAAATTTAGAGATTGTCTAGGCCAGAGTGCCTTAGACTCGAGTGGGCCTCCAAATCACCCAGAGGGCTGTCAAAATGCAGATGGCAGGGAGCTGCTCCCCAAGTTTCTGACTCAGCTTTCTGGGGTGAGGCCTGAGAACGTGCATTTCCAACAAGCTCCAGGTGATGTGGCTGCTGCTGGTCCGGGGACCCCACTTTTGAGAAGCACCGATGTCGGACACCAGCCCATTGGTCCTGTTGTGAGACTGAGGCCTGAGGGTGGGGGTGAGGCCAAGACTGGCCCTCCCAAGTCCCTCCTTGCGGAAACCTGGCTCCCTCTCCCCTCTCCGGGTGTCCCCACACAGGAGGGCATGCGATCAGTGATCATGTGGGCCCTGCAGGCTGCGCGGCCCAGGCCGAACATTACCCCACATGGTCAGGGTGCTCAGTGCAGGCTGCTCACAGGACATGTCACTCTGCAACCCTGCCCTAGGGGACAATCAGCTGTCTCCTGTGTACCAGACTCCTCCAGGCACAGATGGCCACTGTCCTTACATCTGAGGGCGTGGGCGAGGACCAGATGCCCTGGCCCAGAGCTGCGCCAGTGAGAGCAGACTCAGGGCACGCAGGGGTCAGCTTATAGAAGTTACCGTGGCAGGAAGAACGGCCCAGAAGCACAGGCTCTGCCTCCCCTGGGCAGGTGTGTGAGCAGAGACCAAAGGACACGTGTTACGGAACTCAAACGCCACGAGCATTCGTCAGGACGACCCCCAGGCCTTCCAGCTCACAGCTCGCCTGGTGCTAAGGGAGGAAATGGTCCCCAAGGAGAGGCTGCCCTGGGAGGGTGGCCCAGCCTCCTCGCTACCCCTTCCCCGCCCCGCAGAGCCAGCCCTCACCGCTCAGTGCCCAGGGACAGGTAGAGCTGACTGATGGTCTCCAGGAGCTGCCCTTCCAGCACCTTGTCGGCCACCCTTCGGGCCAGCGAGAGCTGGAACTCGTGGTAGACGACACACTGGGCCTCGCTGGGCTTGACCCTGCTGTAGAAGTGACACAGCTGCCGGACGGCATGCAGCTGGCCTGGGCGAGGGAGACAAAAGGAAGAAGCCGCTGTCATTCATCAGAGCAACGATGACATTTACAGGGTTCAAAGGCCCCTGCTGTGTGCCTGCCTCTTCCACACGTCTGTCAGCGGGGTCACTGCAGATTGGGAAACTGAGCCCAGACAGGTTGAGCGACCTGCCCAAGGTCACACAGTGATGAGCACACCATCACGGGGCCAGGCAGAACACGCTGTAGGTGCTCGAGAGATGGCACCGACTATTTCTGCAATGCTCCCCAGGCCTGGGGGCCCCGGCCAGGCTCTCCCACCACAACAGGCCACCCATTTCTGCTTCACAAAGCCCCCCTCAGCCAGGACAGGGGCATCCTTCACGCCGAGCTGACGAGGCGGGGCACCAGCACCCCCATGTTGCAGGCGGGCAAACTGAGTCCAAAGCTGAGTCCCCATGCAGTGGAGACAGCATTCAGCTTTGGCTTCCGTCATTCCGGAGCCAGTGCCTTTGCAAGAAGCCAGGCTCCAAACCCCAGCCTGACTTGCCTCTCCTAAAACCAGGGTCCTGGGGACAGTCGAGAGTTTTCACTATTAAAAATGACCCGGAGATTAATAAGGAAAGAGAAGACATGCACAACACCGTGAACCAACGAGGCTGAGTAGACGCCTACGAAACACCCCCAACCGCACCAGAAGACACGTCCCTCAGGGGCACACAGACAGTTCTGCAGGCCAGGCCAGAGCCTGGTCCAGGAAGCAATTCTCCACAAACGCACTGGGCTGAAATCACGCAGAGTGTGTTTTCCAGCTACAGTGGGATGAAATCAGAAACCGACCACACAAGGAAGCTTGGGAAATTTACAAATATTGGAAATTAACAACATACTCCTAAGTAACCAGGGGGTGAAAGAAGAAATCGCAACGGAAACCAAAAAATATTTTGAGGTGAGTGGAAATAAAAGCCTGGCGTACCAACACGTATGGGAAGGGGCGAAAGCAGTGCTTAGAGGGTCTTTATAGCTGTAAATGTCTATGTTTAAAAAGAAGACAATGTCAAATAAAAAATCCTCAGAAAAAAAGGAGTTAACTAGATCCAAAGCTAGCAAAAGGGAGGAAAAATAAAACTCGAGCAGAAATGATTAAAAATAGACAATAAAAATAAACAACAGAGAAAAATCAATAAAATCAAATGATTTTTTTTTGGGGGGGTGGGGGACAAGATTAACAAAACTGACAGATCTTTAGACTGACCAAGGGGAAAAAAAAGATACACATTTCTGAAATCAGGAGTGAAAGATGGACATTAATCATAGTCATAGGTGCTGATCTTCTAGAAATAAAAGGATTATAGCAGAATACCATGAGCCATTGTGCACAAATTAGATAATCTAGAAAAAATGGACAAATGCCTAGAAAGACACAAACCACTGAAACAGCATAAAAAGCAGCCCAGAGCAGGCACTGGGTGACTGGGTGTCACCACAGCCTTCGGTCTCCTTGTTCAGTGTGGAATGGGGACAGCATGACCCCCTATGACCCCCAGTTTGGCATTCCCAAGTCTGAATGCCTGAGCACCCTGGGGAGGGAGCCTCCTAGGAGGTTTGGGGGAGGCCCATGCGGGCCCTGGTGAGCATTGCCACCATTTGCCTGAGGCACGGGACGGGTCTGGGGACCCAACTCTTGGCTCTTCCTGGAGGCCCAGAGGGCCCCTGCCAGCCTCAGTGAGTTTCCTGCATCCCTCAGTGGCTCCGCAGTGCTCCCAGGGAAAACACCGAGCCATAGCCTGTGCTCCCTAGCACCTGCCTAGGCCCCTAACCGAGGTTTTCACCACCCACCATCCAACCCGCCCAAACTTTGCACCTCCCTGCAGTGCCCCGCTCACTCAGCCATGGCCTTTGCACAGGCTGCACTTCTGCCAGGCCTGTGCTTGGCTCACCCCTCCTCAACCCGCAGGTCCCAGACTAAACAGACGTCCCTGATCTACAAGTCAGGGCCAGGAGCAGACCGTCACCACCCTGAGCACCCCTTTTATGGCTCTTGTGGCCTGGGCATCTGTTCCCTGTACTTGGCAGCCAGCCCGCAGTGAGGACCACTTGGGTTCCATTTGTAGGTAGAGCCCCGCCTAGAGCGTACTCACACAGCAAGCTGCTATTGAGTGACGCTAACTGCTCCTTGGCCCTGGGGAACCACCCACCACCTGAGAGGCCTCTGGTGTGCAGGGCTGTCGGGATGCCTAGGGGATAGCTCCCGCTAAGGCACCCGGTGTTCAAGTCCACATGGCTCCCCTCAGCTCAGCCGCTGACCCACTACCTGTTTGCCCACGACTGTGGGGCTGCCCGGGCTATGGGACTTTCAGTGCTCAAAGCAGGACATGCCAGGCAGACCGGGATGAGCTGGTCACCCTGCCGATGTCTGGGACAGCGTGGGAACACCCTTAAGCACCTGCAAACGGCTGCTGGCTTCCACGCGGCGTTCCCAGCAGTGGAAAAACCACCGCCTGTCTGTGCTCGCAAACCCCAGGTGTGCTCCACACAGAGACAAAAACATGTTCTTTCCAGGAAGCCAGTGTGGGCTGGGGCTGGAACTGGGCGCAGCACTTACTCTCCAAGTGGTCCGTCTCCACGGCGACCAGAAAGGCCCACTCGTAGTAGCACTTGCCCTGATGGGTGAGGGCCCTGCGGGTGTATAGGTGACCCAGCTGCAGCAGCACCTGGGTGAAGTCCCGGCCGCACTCCCTGCTGGGCAGCCTGGAGAAGAGCTTCACGGCCTCCAGCAGGTAGTGCTGGGCCAGCCCGCTGGCACCGGCCTGCAGGCACAGGGCCCCGAAGTTGGCCAGGACCACCGCCTGGTTCTGGCGCCGGCCCAGGTCCCTGGCCACACGCAGGGCGCGGTAGTAGCGCTCGGCCGCCAGTCGGGTCCTGCCCAACCTCTTCAGGGCGATGGCCGTCATGTTGACAATCACGCCCTCCTGGTCCACACTGGCCACTGCTGCGTCCAGGACAGACTCCAGGATGTCCAGGGCCACCGGGCTCTGCCCGTGAAGCACATGCAACCAGGCCAAGGCCACCAGATAGTCCACGACCACATGGCCACTGGTCTCGGCGCCGGCTTCCACCGCCTGCGTCATGAAGGAGATGGCCGTGCGGTGCTGCCCGTGGTGGCTGTGCAGCTGGGCCAGGCTGGCACAGAGCAGGCCGCGCAGGGCCTGCCCCGCGCCCGGGGCCAGGAGGGCCAGTGCCTGCCTGAGGTAGGGAGCGACCTGGGAGGGGGGCCGGTGGGCCCGAGGGGCATTCCGCAGGACTAGGTCCACACTCTGGAGCAAGCTGGCCAGCGAGCCCCAGGTCTGCAGCGAGGACACCCTGACACAGCTCAGCGCCAGGTGGGGCAGGCACTTCCGGCTGTAGAAGTCCGCCAGCAGCAGGTAGCAGTCTGCGGGCCACGAGGCATGCGGGCACCCCAAGGCCCTGTGCAGCAGCAGCAGCCTTTCCAGGAAGGGCAGGGCCTCCTCAGGCTGCTTGAGGTGGATATGGTGCTTGGCCAGCAGGAAGCAGGCGCGGGCCTCGGCCTGTGGGCTCCGGCCGCCGATGGCCCTCTGCAGAGCGAGCCGCAGCAGCTCTGCCTCCCCCTCGGTGCTGCAGATGTGGCCGGGCGTCCCCAAGAGCAGGGAGGAGGCTTTGGGCACCACCTGCCTGCACTTCTCCCTGTTCTTCTGCTTCAGGTGGATGGTGGCCAGGTTGGCATACAAGGCCACCACCAGGAAGAGGTCGCCGAAGTGGCCCTTCAGGGCCCCCAGGGCTTCCTCAAAGTACACCCGGGCCTGCGACAGCTTGAGCTTACGCACGCACAGCCGCCCCAGGACGAAGCAGAGCCTGGCGAGGGCCACGGGGAGGCTCGCCCTCTTGGCCACTCCCCGGGCCTGTGCCAGGCACCCGGCCAGCTCGTCCTCATCGGCGACGCCGCAGAACATGGTGCTCAGCCCCGGCAGGGAGAGGTCGTACAGGCCGCGGAAGCAGGCCTTGTAGCCAGGAGTGTCCAGGAGCTGCAGCAGGGAGCGCAGGGCCTCCGGGTCGGCCCAGTCATCCTCAGCGTCCAGGCAGAAGGAGGGTTCCTCGGCGCCTGGCGAGCTTGCACCGCTGGACGCTGCGTGGAGGCCCCAGGACACTGGCTCCTCAGGGCAGCCGTGGCAGGACTTGCATTGTTCTAGAACATTCTTCACCTTCTGCAGGGTCTCACGTGGCTCTGGGTGCAGGCCAGGGAAAGGCATTTCTGCAAATCACCAAAACCCCGAGATGGATTAGGGTCTGATCTGCGTCCAGGCCGGGGCAGGGATGTCCCTCCCGAGGCCCAGCGTCCCGGTGGCAGCACTGGGCAGACACCGCCTCCCCAGGGGCCGCCTGAGCGTCTGAGGTTTAGGTGGAACGCCCAGCACGCAGCAGACAGTGGGAATTCAGTAATTATGACCTTGGGGAAACACAGGTCTATTCGGCCAAGTAACCAAGAGGCCCGCCTTTCCTCATTCTTTCCTGTTTGAAAGCAGTTTCAGGAGACTAGTGTCATAGCTCCATGATCACTCAGAGATCCCTTTCCCTTTAAAAAGAATCAAAGCCACTTAATGGGACGTCGAATTCACTGTGACTGTGTCAGCACTTTGGGACCTCCAGTCAGGTGCGGGCATCCCCATGACATGGTCAAGAGCCAATCAGAGGAAGAGGTGGGCACGGGCTCAAAAGCCACCCCCAGAATTGATGAACCCAGCCGCAGCGGAGGGAGGGGTGTGTGCACCTGCCCAGCTCTCACATGGGACCATTTCCAACAGGAACCCCTGGGAATGGCTCCCAGACTCCCGGAGCTCCCCTTCACTTTGGCTGGTTTGAAACCCTGAGGCCCACGGTTACTAAAGGGTTAAAAAAAGAAAGGACAGCGAGAAGGGAGCCTGGGGACATCCCAGATGCCCAAAGCTTGTGGACTGTTGGCTTTGGAAAGGGCCAGAACCCAAGGGCTTGTCCAGCCTGGAGAGCAAACAAGTTCCATTTCCTGTTGGGAAAACATGGGCTTCAAGGGGAATTTATTTGAAAGGGAAAAAAAAAAAATCAGCATCTAAAGACTGTTCTGTTTCAAATACATATGTAAAAAAATGTTCAAAACTAACTCTCTCCTTATAAGTCTGTAAAGTCTGAGAATAAAGAAAAATTAAATATGGTTTAGTGGCAAATGTCTGACTTGACTACACATTAGATTAGCTAAGAAAACACCCATCCTCCAGGGGTGTGCTCTCAGCTGTTAGCCGGCCCCCCAGCATCTGGGAGCGCCTTTGCTCCCGGGAACTTGGCAGGGTGTGACATCCGCCTCCTAGGGGAAGGCAAGCCTGAGTTCTTCCCTGTGCTCACCCCGCAGAGGCTCAGGAGGAGGACGGCCCTGGAACAGCCCTGGGGGCCCGGGGTGGGGGGCTGGCCTCCTCACCAACACCCCAAAAAAGTGGCCCTTTAGTGTTGGTGCTTAGATGGGTCCCACCCCTAGGGAATTTCAAAGGGTCCTCAGGAATTCACGTCCCCAGGACCTCCCTGATGCAGACCCTCTGATGGGGGCGCAGGGAGACGGAGGAGCCGAGAGAGGAGGGGGGTCTCCCTGGACCAGCCCTGCTGGGGAAGCGGAAGACCCTCAAGGGACTTCTCTAAAATAAGGCTCCAAATTCAGCACCCCCTTCACCCCACAAAGCAGAGCACAGGATGAATTTCAGCTGCTCTAGGTTGTGTGAGAGGAACTGAGGGCCAGGCACAGACTGGGACAATGGAGGAGGTGCCCCACCTTCGCCGGGGACATGTTGCTGCAGTGAAGGGGAGCTTCACCTCTATCTCTCCAGCCCCCCCTCCAGGGCAGGCACCCCACCCACCAGCCCTCCCCNTTCTCTGGGGACATGTTGCTGCAGTGAAGGGGAGCTTCACCTCTATCTCTCCAGCCCCCCCTCCAGGGCAGGCACCCCACCCACCAGCCCTCCCCCACGGAGAAGTGAGGTCTGTGCCCGGCGCCCACGGCTGCCAGCTCGGTGGCCTCCGCCTGGCATCATCCCCCAATGCCCAGCCCCGTGACCGCAGAAACCCGGTGCCGTGAGGGAAGAACCCACCTTGTTTTTCCTGTGGTTCAATCTCAGCTTCTTCTAGTCTGTCTGAAACGGGAGAAGAGGAGCATCAGCCTCGGGCCAGCACCTCTGGGTCTGGGGCCAAGTTGGGCAAGAGTGGTGACACCAGAATGGTGACACTCCTGACTCCAGCGCCCATTAGGGGCAGTGGGGGGAGGGGGGGCCCGGGAAGCCACTTCTTCCAGGGTCTGTGCCGCTCCCACCTGCACCCCTGCAGGGCTCCATCCTCCCACGAGAAAGGCGAGAGGCCATGGCTTCTGCTGCCGCCCCTCTGGGGATGGGCGTTCTCCCCAGTGAAGGGCACCCTGGACTCCATCGGCTCTCCCGGGGGTGGCAGGGCAGCAGGTCTGGTGTGAATCCCTCTCATCCATGCACCCCTGCCCCTCATTCACAAGGCCCAGCGTCCACCTCCTTAAAATGGGCTGACCCCAACAGCTCGCTGGGTGGCCACAAAAATCAAATTAGAAAAGAGCTGTCAAAACACATGCAAAGCGTAAAGTGCGTCTGACTAGGATAACATAGAGCTCCTGGGAAGTTACGCAGGCGGACAGAAGGGCCTGGTCCCTGGAACAGCCTCCCACCCCGAATAAGAGGTCCCAACGTGGCTTCCTGAGAAAGAGGAGAAAACCGTCTCTTTTCACTGTGGTTGAGGACCCACGACACACTTCCTTCATTGACGCTTGACACTGTAGCCCTCAGAGAAATCCTTTCCAAGCACAGGGGCGGAGGTGAAATGGGAACAGCGTTGCCTCAGGAGGAGTGGCCCCCCCACCCCCCAGCGGCACCCACACCCACCCAAGCTGAACACCGTGTAGACGTCTGCGCCCGACGTCCTCCTCAGTAACTGCCTGGCGTCCTCCTCAGAAAAGCACCCTTCCTTGGTGAAGAATGACCTTTCTTCCTCATTGAGAAATATCACATTTTCCAACCTGGAAAAAATCAAGCACTTCATTGAAGATCGCATGATTCCAAAGTAAACATCGCACAGTCAGCCTCTTTCCACTCCCTTCCTCGACAAGACAGTCCCTGTGCACCTATTCTGGGCCCAACAGTGAAGACACTGATAACAAATAAAAGCAAAATAGATCCTGCTTTCAAGGATCTGGTCAGAACCAGACGCCCAGGAGCAGAAAAGGCTGTGACAGATGCAGCAGGGCACAGCAGCCTGGAAAGATGAGCTCCTATGCAGCCTTCAAAGCCCCGCCTCAAATGTCCCTTCCCCCTTGAGGACGGCCGTGACAGCTGCAGGCAGAATCAATCCCTCCACACAGTAAGCTCCCGAGTCCCCCGCACGAGCTCCGCAGTCCTCCCACAGTGCCCAGCACAAACACCATAAAGTCGGGGAGACAAAAAACAGGAGGAAACGGAGGGAGGGAGGGAGGGAAGGAGGTGGCCATTTTGCTTATAGGACTAAATTACCAGCATAATATGAAACTTTAAAATGTATTATGAAACTTGGAGCTGTTTTCCAATGTTAAAGAAAAACTTAGAGTAGCTTGTGGGGCATTCGAGAAAATAAGAGGCCTGTAGTCTTCAAAAACGTCATTGTCATAAAAGACAAGAAGACCGAGAAACTGTTGTTTCGGATGACGGCGAGAAGGCTAACGAGACGTGACAACTGGTAACGTGGGGTCTGCAGTTCTCCTTGGCCACAGAGGGCAGTGATGGGGAAACTGGCAAAATCTGAATAGTCTGTGGATAATAGAATTGCATTGGTTTTAATTTCCTGATTTTGACAGATGTACTGTGGTTACGTAAGCAGATGTCCTGGTTTGGGGAAACACTGCCTTATTTACGAGTAACGGGACATTGTGTTTGCATCGTATCCTCCGAGGGCTTAGAAGAAACTAGAAGTAAAAGAGAAGAAAAAGGAGGAAAGCAGGAGCCGTAACAAGGGAGCATGCGGGCAACCTGGGCGAAGCGTGAGCAGGAACTTGGTGCTCTTAATGCAGCTTTTCTCTAAGTCTGAAATTACGTCAGAACAAATTAGAAGGAAAAAGAAGAATAGTTGCCAGGCTGTTCATTAAACAAAGGATAACAACCCAGGGCCTGGAAAGGAAAGATGTCCAGGAAATGTTTGCGGAGTGAATGAGGGAAGTCATCAGGGCTTCTGTGCTGTAAACAGGACACATGGCCCCGGCCCCGTCGCCCTTCCGGGTTAAGGGAGAGGAACAGGCTAGCTCAGCCCCTTGGCTCTTCCAGCTCAGGCCCTTGGTAAGCTCACGACCTATTTAAGTCACATGGCCCCTCGCCATCTGTCTAGAAATTTTGGCCTCCCCGAAGACAGTGGCAAACGGCTACACCAAGGGTCCCCAAACTGTGTTCCACAGAACACAAGCTGATAGGGTTGTGTGAGGCAAGGATTCTGGAGGCCAAATCAGTGTGCTCAACACCTCTCAACAGGAAAAAAAAGTTTCAGACTTCTCGGTGCCTCCCCTGAGCTGGGGACCCCTGCAGACTGCCCACGGGGCACGCGGCGAGCACGTCCCCAGTCATGTGAGCACGTCGAGGTTTGTAACGGGGCATTGAGAGGGAGTACACTTTGGGAAACGCTGGCATAGTGGCCACACTCAGCATCCAGGCCCAGCCAGCTTTAAATTGCTGCTGCTGAACAAGTGAAAGAGGCACCCAAGCGGACAGACACTTACATTAGGGAGCACAGGGACTGGCAGGGCACGTCACGACACCAAAGTGGCCTCTGAGATCTGGTCTGGGAGGTGACGGTCTGTCGTAGCGCCAGACAAGCATGAGATGGGATGCCGGGGCTGGGGGCCCCTGAAGGCGAGCATCTCGTGTGGGAGAGGTGAGGCCCGGGGGGCGGGGACGGGCCCACAGCCCCAGGACCCAGTAAAGGTCCTTCCATATCATACCATCTGCCTCCTTGACCGAAGGCTTAAAAATGAAAGGTCAAGTCAGGGGAACAGAATCCCACCACAAGGCAGGCGTGGCTGTGCTCGCTGACCACTCTCCAAGAACCCCCCCTGCTGCCCAGAGCCGGGCTGTGGGGACACAGAGGTGACCAGGCAGTCCTCCCTCAGGATTCCTGGAGGGGGGCGGGGCAGACACATCAACCATGGGGCATGGGGGGCTCACACAGGGAGAGGACCTCGGCCAGACGAGCGTCCCCAGGGATGAGCCATTGGAGAGGGGACTTGGGGGCCAGTGGGGGCCCCCAGAAAAATGGGAGGGTTGGGATGGAGGGAGCGACACCCAGAGTCGTTCTAGAAGGGCCAAGCCAACAGCGTAGCTGGACTCAGGGTAAGCTGATGGCGAATGGTGGCCTTTGAAATTGGGGGTCTCTAGGGTCTGGGTCATGGTAGGGGGCCGTGAAGGCCAGGCCCAGAAGCTTCAAACGGCTTTATGAATGAGAGTAGCATGGTATACTGAATTGAAGAGTGTCCCCCAAAATCCATGTCCTTAGAAGGTGACCTTATTTGGAAATAGGGTCTTTTCATATATAATCAAGTTAAGGATCCTGGGATGAGGCAGTCACTGTGGATTGCCCAGGTAGGCCTTCAAAGGAGTGGTGTTCTTAGAAGAGACAGAGGAGAAGAAAGCCATGTGAAGACGGAGGCAGACACCGGAGGGGTGCGGCCATGAGGAGCCCCCAGAAGCTCAAAAGGCAGGAGGCTCCTCCCCTAGGGCCTCCAGCAGGGGGGCCGGTCCTGCTGACACCTTGGGCTGCGAGAAGCCCTGGTTTGAGGAGCTGATACCACAGCCGAGGACACTAGTACACACAGACATCTCTGCATTTCAGAGAACGACCTGGCAGCTCTTGGAGGAACGACATGAAGGACCCAGACAGGAAGTTGATATTAGGCCCTGAGGACAAGGGGATGGCGGCCCAGGCTCGGTGCAGGCCTGGGGACAGAGCTGGGAGCAGACTCCCCGATGACCAGGACGGGAGGCGCTGTTCAGGATAAAGTCCAGGTTTGTCACCTGGGAAGCAGGTAGGGAGCAGCAGGGTTCCCCTGGGGGTAGAGGTGCCGGCCCAGGAAGGGGGGGGCCTCAGCACTCACTCAGACGCGTGGCCCTGCACACGGACGAGGCCCGTCTGCACAAAGCCAACCTGGCCCGAGGCCACGTGCTGGCCCAGGAACCAGGGCAGGCTGGGCACCTGGGCCCCGAGGATCTCGATGAGGTCACCACTTTGGAAGGTCATCTCTTCGGGCCCGGAGCCCTGGTAGTCTGCCACCGCCGTGGCCAGGCCCATGGCTGTGGGGGGAAGAGTACACGGTCAGTGCTGGGGGCGGGGGCTGAGGTGGGCAGACGTTGGCCCTCAGTCAGGGACACGAAGTCCTGCTGTGGCACCATCTAACGCCTGCCTGGGATGGCAGTGCAGCTCGGCCACCACACATGAGGGGCTGGACATCTATGCGGTCCTCAGAGGGGACACTTTATCCCCACGCTGAGGGCAACAAACTGGGGCCCAGAGACCTTAATTAACTTGGCCCGGGGCTGTTGGCCTCCAACGCCAGCCTCTTTCCTCTGTGCCCCTCGGTGAGGCCAGACCAAGGCCCATCCAGTGTGTGTGCAGCTGTAAACATGAGTCCCTCGTATCCCTCCTCCCGTGGGGCCTCATGTTCATGTAACAGGGACACAAGGCCACCCCTATATTAGCCAGCCTGGGGCAGAGCAAAAAGCACTCGGCAGGGAGCCCAGGCTCCCAGCAGGCTGGCTTTTCAAAAAAAGACCCAGCCTCATGGTCCTCGGTGCACAGGGCAAATTCAGCCACAGCCCAGCCCAGCCCAGCCCAGCCCGTCCCAGGGCCCTCCGAGGGGTTTAATGTGGCCCCAGACAGACAGTGGAGACTGAGAGTGCTTATTGAATGGTCTCTGGAAGCTACACTTTAGAGGCAGAGTGACCAGGACCCCGGCCTGGTGTTGCTGTGCGCTGTGTGAGTTGGCAGCAGCCGACAGACCTCTCTGAGCCACAGTTATCATCTCGTGAACTAGAGAGGATTCTAGCTACATCTTGTGGCTTGAGGAGGATAGGGCAGAAGCTCCTAGAACACTGGTGCCTGCACCTCCTCGCCCACCTTCTCCCCAGGGAGAAGGCCCAAAGGAAACATTTACCCATCGACTGGATGTCCGAGGTCCCAGGTCGATCTGCGGCGTCATCGAAGGGGTCCCAAGGAACCCTAAGAGCCCATCTGGAGTGGGGAGAGGGAGGTCTTTGCTGCAGGATTTCAGATTTGGGGCAGACGGAAACTGTGGAGACTGGATGAGTCAGCAGCTCCCAGTGACCCATGCGGATTCCACCACACACACACCCACACACACACACACACACACACACCTGCCCAGGTGTGGGGCCTTCAGGCCCAGGCACGGCACTGCCTCCGGGGAGCCCCGTGTCCCCCAGCCCAGTTGCCTCCTGCCCTGTCTCATGCTCACGTCCCTGGGGAGAGAAGCTGAGCCATCGCCTGTTATTTCAAGGACCCTGAACATTATGAGATCGCGTTTCTCCCTTCGCGTTGGCTTCCAGGAAGCGCCAAGTCAAGGTTATGTCCCACACTCAGCAAGGGAGCAGGCGCTTACGTGTTACCTGTCCTGGTCTCCCCCAGGCTCTCTCTGCTTTGGCCACTATCCGTACAGGTTCCCCGCGCTCCCTTGCTACGGGCACACGTTGTGCGGCTCCCTCAAAAGGCTTCCAGGAGCCGGGGTGTGAGGCAGCTCCATGCAGCGCATGCCGGTGCCCCAGCATCCCAACTCAGCCCCGCTGGGAAACGTCACTGTCCTGTCACGCAGGCGGCAGCCCCGAGGCCCCGCCGCTGGACTGGCTTGCCAAGGCCACCCGTGGGAAGCGGCAAAAACGATCGTGGCTTGGTCTGCCTGGCTCACACTGTTTTTAGTCCCCCGCTCACTCATACACAGGCACTCCCCACCCCAGCCTGTGAGTGGCCCAGGGCGCAGGGGCGCCTCCGAGAGGCCTGATGGCAGGAAGCAGAGAAACGAAGGCCGGTACCTACTGATGAAATGGTATCAAAGTTTCTGGAGTGGCCACCGCTGCCGCCTCCTTGGAGGGTGTGCTGAGGCGGTGAGCTGAAGAGTCCACTGCCGGGGCTGCCTCTCCCTGGGGATCCCCTGAAGCCCGCTTCAGGGGCTGGGGGCCCCTCCCTGCACCCCAGGGAACAGTTGTCGCTCGCACGTGGTGGTCGGCACACAGGACAAAGAAAGGCCCTTCAAAGCGACAAAGGGTGGTCATTGGGGGTGGCTGCACACAGGGGGACCGACCCCTCCCCGCTCCAGGATACACGTGTGAAGGCAACACCTGCAGGAGCCCCTCACCCCCCATCTCTACATTCACTGAAACCCAGACACCGGAGGCCCAAGGGGCCAGACTGGGAGGCTGGCCCTGTGTTGGGGTTCCGGCTCTGCCTGGCTTGTCCTGGGAGCCTGGATTGGCCAGGCTCTTGGGGCCGCAGTTTCGGCTTCTGTGCTAAGGGGCCAGGCGTGTAATCCCCAGGGCCCTTCCTGCTTGGACCACCATTGGTGAGCCTGACCCCAGCTGGCCACATCTCTTCCTCGCTGCGGCTGGGGTAGGACAGGCCGCTTTATGCTCCATTTACTGCAGACGTAGAGCCCCATAGTGAGGCCATTGTGGCCCTCAAAGCAACAGCTGGGTCAGGAACACAGGGTGGGGGGTGGCACTTGCAAAGCCCCCTTTCTGTTCTTTCTTTGGGAGCTGACAATGGCCTTACAAATAAGTGACAGAGCCTGGGTACATCACTGTCAGTGTCACCAGCATACCCCTCTCTGCCTGAAGCCCCCTCTGGTCTCCACATGCGTGTCAGAGCCCCAGAGCCCTCCCGCGGGCCGTGGCCCGGGAGTCCCCAGCACAGCACGGAGCTGGCCCAGGTCACCATCACCCAAGTAGCAGTCACCTTCCTGGATAAGGAGGCTCTCGTGCGTCAGCTTCAAGGCCTCCTCATCCACGTGGACTTGGATGGCCGCCTCCTCGTCCTCATCCGGTGAGAGCAGCCAGAAGGCCTGGTCCACCAGCAGGTTTTCCAGACAGTGGTGAGTGAAGCCTGGGGAGCCAGACAGGCCCTAGTCACCAGTGGGCTCCGGAACGGGGCAGGGACACCCTCAAAGCCCAGCAGTGGCCAAGCCTGCACTGACCAGGCCCAGGGAGACACCTCGCCCTGCCTTCGGGGACCACGACCTGGGCGGGCGACGGGTCTGACTGTCCAAGCTGCAAGTGGGCCAGCTGTGACCGTACACAATTTATTTGACTTCCCTGTGCCTTGGGAAGGTTGGAAGAGGACAAGTTACTTCCTCTATGAGATGGGACGAGCGCATCCAACAACATCACATACGCTGCTTGTGGGGGTGACATAGGCCCTTCTCAAGGCTTGCAAGAAATGGTCATTTTCCAACATCCCCGGCCCTCAAACCAGGGGCAGGGGAGCAAGTTTCCCCAGGAGACGCAGTCAGACCTTGCACGTGCCTCCCCAAAGAATGGGGAATGTTCTAGAAAGAAAGCACCGGGGTCGAGGTTGAAATAACAGTTTCCTGGGCTTTGCTCGGCCAGTCCGAGCTCAGATTCCCCTTGTTCTGGTCCAGCAAAGTTACATGGCACATGTTGGAACACATCTGGAAACTTGGTCCCATCACACGGGCAGCACAGACCGCGTGCGTCTGCAGCTCCACCCACCACAGTGTCCTCCTGGGGACAGGTGAGAGGCCTTTGTGAACTAGCCTGCTCTAAAGCCTGATTTGGAACATAAATGCTCGGCATGTGACAAGCGTCCTGCGTGCAAGTCCCCGTAACCAGTTCTGGGAGGGCGCCGCTTTACCAAGAGCGTGGTAGGTGGAAAACTTCCAGATTTCTTCAAACGTCTTGAAGGTCACCACAATCCGCTCCTGGTCACTGTGGATGGACAGCAGCCTGGCCGATAACTCCTTATGGGGAAGAAGCAGAAATC